AGGCGCGTGCGCGGTGGGGCACGCGTATGGAGGACTCGTCCGTCAGACGTGCTGTCGCGACGCTCGCTTTCAAGGCCCATAGGCGCGACATTGCGTTTACCATGTTCCGCCGCGAGGAGCATCATAGATGGCACCGCCGGTATGACGATGTACAGATGGACACCTCGCAGTTGCTGTTCGAGAGCACCGACACGCGCCCGCGTTCAAGGCAGCGGCGCGTGCACTCGAGTCTATTGCGCAACGGCGAGGGCACTGAGAATTTCAAGTGGAGGAGGCTCCGATACGTGGTCAAGAAGACGTGGGGGAAGGATTGGCTTGACGAAGAGCTCACTAAGGATGCAGTTAGGAGACGAGGCGCTTTTGCGGAGGCTCGCAGCGGCGAAGACACTTCATTGTAACTTATCAACTCAACGATCTGCAAGTAACATCACCATCATGTGTATCATTCCGATTCATTCGAAGGGAGACTGCCTCGATCGGTCGGACCGTCGACGGCGGGAGGCGGGTTTGTCGGTCGTATACAAATATGTTCGTCCCCGCAACGATTTAACCTCCTTCTCCGTCGTACGATGCCCCAAAATCAGGCAACACGACGCAGCACGAAGGCGGCGCCGACACGCGCAGAGCAGGCGCATTCGCGGGCCGCCTGGCACCCAAGCAAAGACTGCAGGTCCATATCTGATATTTTAACGACGCGGTATATGCGTCAGGCAGACGCGGGTCTCATTCGCTACGAGAAGTACCAGCTGCGATACGCGATTCTCGAGGAGCGTCTGCGCGCATTCGAGCCCAAGGCGTTGGTGGCACTTCGACCGGACCACCGTGACTTGGTACGTCTCATCGCTCGACAGTGGCTCGTGAGCTCATCAGTGCATGCAGGTGCACCTCGTTGATGGTATGCATCTGTTACGCATTATGATTCCAGCGCTGTGCTGACGTTCGCCACTAGCTCAGCTCGCGCATGTGGCAAGGTCGTGGTCGACGCTCATCGACACGCTCGCGGAGGAGGGCTCGTTATTCGCTCCCGGCCTGGATGGCTACTGCTCGTCAAAACTCGACGTCTACCTCCTCGACTCTCTCGACACCCTCTACGAGCTCGATACAGACTGCGCGCACGTCTTTCCCGACTACGATTCGCTCTTCGGAGACGAAGTGGCCGGGTGCCATTGCCATCTGTGCAACGCCTCGACTGAGGCCAAGATGCGCTTGAAGATGTGCGCGGTAGAGTTCCACGGCGACCTGGACAAGCATTTCTTCTGCAGAGTGTTCAGGGATCTGGCTGTCGAGATAGAATCAGGGCCACAAGCGTAGAATCTCGTCGTCCTCAGTTGGTTTTGTATGTCATGTAACAACAAACTGCCCGGCAGAGCAGACCACAAGCGTAGAATTCCATCGACCTCAGTTAGTTTCGAGTGTGTACCCGTTGTCCTGTGATAACACATTGCCCGGCAAAGTATATCGAAGAAGCGCAGTTCAAGGCGTGTGAGCTGCAGAATAAAGCGACAGCAAGTCCACGATGCAATAGCAATCTCGCACGACTCATGAGACCGAATCAGTCCGAGTTATCCGGCGAGAGATGTTCGACAGTCGGGCAAGGTGGTTGGAGCCAAGGGACGACGCTGATCATAACTCCGCGGCGCACCGTCCTTGCTCTTACACCATGGTTCTCGTGCTCATCATCGGCGACTTGCACATACCGCACAGGTCAGACTTACCGCGTACGGAGACTCCTGCAGTGGTTGACTGAACATTAGAACCCACGACTTGCCGGCCAAGTTCAAGAAGTTGTTGGTGCGCACTCGCTCGCCGCTGTGCAGCTGGACTGTGCTGACCAGGAGCCCGCATGCCCCCTCTGCTCTGTCCTCCAAATCTTGCTGGGACTTGCTCTACACGTCGACGGTGTGGTCTACAACGCAAACATCGCGACTTGTTACTGCGCACCGGTCCCCGTGCTGCAGGTGCCAGGCAAGATTCAGCAGATAATCTGCACGGGAAACGTGTCCGACAAGGAGACGTACGAATACCTCCGCACAGTCTGCCCGGACGTCAATGTCGTGCGAGGCGACTACGACGACGTGCGTCCGCAACGATGTTCTCATTCCCGCACCGGACACCGACTCACGCTGCTGGATACAGGCTGCATTTCCATACTCTATTACGCTGGTACATTCTCCCATACGCATTGGGGTGATACATGGACACCAGAGCGTCCCAGTCGGCGACCTTGACTCGCTCGCGGGCATCGCGAGACAGATGGACGTCGACGTGCTCGTCTCGGGTCACACGCATGTGTACGGCCGTTTCATTCTATCCTTTCTCTCTCCCATCGTTGACCTTCTGCACACAGAGTACAAGCCGTCGAACACGACTCGCGTTTCTTCGTCAACCCGGGCTCCGCGACGGGTGCATGGTCCGGTGCATCCAGCGCGTGCGTCTTCCGTTCCGCTCCTGGCGTCCTCGCATTGCTAACCTTTCGCGCTGCTTAGGGACGTAACGCCCTCGTTCGCGCTTATGGACATCCAGGGCCCAGTCGTCGTCACCTATATCTACCAGCTCGTCGACCAAGAACCGCCAGTGCGCGTCGAGAAGGTCGAGTGGCGCAAACCGGAAACCCTGCCTCTTCCGCCGCCACCTGCACCACCCGCACAGAGCCCAACCTCTGGCATCGGCGTTGGTGTCGGGAGTGTCTGGTAGTTGTGTGGCAGATGTCCGGTCTTTTATTCGCCGCGGCGTCGTTTACGATGGAATGTCAACTCTATTTCGTTTTGGGAATCCTCGGACTGCATGCGAAGGCCCTTTCCTTCTCAGGCGCAATTTAGAGCTTAGACGAACATCGTCGACGCCAGCGTATTCCTTTCGGTGCAGTGGTTTCCAATCCGCACACCGAGTTGCGTCAACGTCCGTTGCATGTCGGCAGCGGAGATGGCCAGACAAGTCAGACGTGTTATAAGCATAGACGGGTAAGAAGTTATCTGGGGAACACGGTGTTCTTTGCGGCGGAGGTCAATACGGTCGCGTATGCTCAAGGCCCATCTATACGTATGCCCTTCAAACGCGACAATTCTGCAGACGGATTACAAGTACGTCCTCAGCACCAACGGCGACAAGACGATCCATGACATCCGCAATTTTCTTCTTCTCCACCATCGAGCTGACTGCCACCCATTCACTGTCGTCAAGCGGGCTGACAGTCGCGGCTCGTCGTCCGGGGGTGATCTCTGTCGCGTCATGCAGTCGGTCGCGCAGGATGTTGTACTGGCACAACACGTAGCGGTCAGACGCGATAACTCCCGCTATGCGCGAGGTGATCTTGTCGATCAGAGGGGAGAGGTGTGCGTGTTTTGGGGAGGAGGAGCGGATGAGGCAGGCTTCGGTTTCGAGCACTGTCGCAATGGGGTGGAGACCGGCCGCACGCATCGTCTCGCCAGATTCTGCAGCTAATCAGTAACTGCGCAGATGCGAACGTGGGTCAACACAACCGCCGCACATCCTTGTGTCCGCATCCTTCGGCAGCAAGCAAGGGTTCAGAGTCTTCCCTCAAGGCCCTTTCTCTTGCTTTACTGCCACCGAAGGGCATGGGGGATGGGGTGGTTGTGTATTAGGCAAAGCGTACCTACGAGATCCACTAAATGGCACGTCAATCTCGGTCAAGCTGTACGAGTATTGGAGGCTCACCGATACCGTCTGCAAGACCAAGAGCGCAAGCAGCCTCAACACTTCCGCCCACATATTGTATCTTCGTCCGCTGCTCGCCCACGAGGCCTTTCCGGTTGTCCAGAGCTGCGAAGTACTCGGCCGCGACAACCTCGAAGCTCGTAACGATCCGCTTGCCAGCGAGATCGTCCAACGTCTTTATGGGGCCTTTCTCCGGTACCTGGACCTGCAGCTTGCAGCGACCGAAACCGAGCGGGAGGGACTCTGTGACGAGCTTGCTCATCTGCGCTTCGAGGATGACATCCTGGCCTGTTATGCCAAGGTCGACCTCGCCCTTGCCGACGAACGAGGGGATGTCCGCCGCTGGTAGAAACACGCTAAATAGTGGGGTTGAGACGTGATTGCGTAGGGCGCGGGGACACGAGCGGCATACAGCGCAATATTGTGATTCGTGGCGAGGCACACATCTAGACGATGAGAGCGACTGAACTGGATGTCGGCGCCTAGGACCGTGCAACCGATGTCAATGACGATGTGGAGACGATATGTAGAGTATTCACCAGCGAGGATTTCAAGGCACTTCTCTGCCAATCGTCCTACAGCGCGTATGAGTCACACATATCAGGCCCTCGCACACGCGTCAATGACGTACCCTTCTTAGGAATGGCAAATAAGAGGCGCCCTTTTATGGCCTCGGATAGCATATCCATCGTTACCGTACCGGTGTGGGTTCAAGAGGTCAACAAGTCGCAACGGCTTCGGCCGAAACGCGCTCTCGCGGACTTTGTTGTTCCGCTTCGTACATCGTTCGCGCCCTAACATCCAGTCAAACACACACTAACGCGTAGAGATCGCGCTCGCGGCGACCACTACGCCATACGAGCCGACCGATCTTTAGCGAGCTATGTCCGTTATGTAAGCGTTGCGAGCAGGCAAGAGCGCGGTTGAGAGTGCGCTTGATGGTCCCTCCTCCGCTACATGTATCCCGTTTTAGCCTCGCATGTAATCGGGTTATCCTGACTACTTCGACTCGAGACGCGCCAGGACAATGGTTCAGATGATTCTGACCATCCATGCATTCATGATATGCACGCGGTGCGTCTACGACATGGTGTGCGGCACAATATTGATCAGAGTTGATAGCGGGATGCACTCCCGCTAGTCACGTAGCCGCAGCTATCAGCCGCCAGGTTGCCACCGGATATCTACCAGGGAGACTTACTGTGTCAGGACAACTGTTTAAATGCGAGGCTAAAGGGATACATGATACCGGAGGAAGGACCGTCGAGCGCTGCCTCCTCCTCGTGACGCTCCTATAACACACATAGCTTGGTCAAGGCCCGTTAGCCCGTATGGCGTAGTGGTAGCGCGTCGCTCTTGTATAGCTAAGCGAAGGTCGTCGGATCAACCCCGGCTGTGGGCAGTTGCTTTTGAAGTCCTGTGACCAGTAAGTATCCGCAGGAGTCTTTTTGAGCCTGTGCATGCGAGGACCGTTCTTTCTGAACGTGTCTGGCCTTAACTGATTTTTCAGAACCGAGTTCGATCACCTTAAAATGTGAATTGAACTCGCGCCTTGTTGCTCCGTCAAACTCCGACCGGACTTCGGTTCTCCCATTCCGCATCGTTTCCCGGCGCGTGCGATGTCTGTGACGCCTGGGTCGAGCAACACGCCGAGCGCGTCGTCGCCGATAGACCTGTCGCAGGATGATCAGTTCTCCAAGGAGGACACCATGGTCCTCGAGTACCTGCGCAAGCGCGGCCTGAAGCAGGCCGAGCAGGAGCTGCGCGAGCAGCTCGCAGCTGCTGGCCCGTCTACCGACGTGCGGCCTATTACAGAGGGTCGCACCACGCGCTCGCGCGCGGCCAAGTCTAAGGCGACGACCGTGTCGACGGCCGAGCTCGTCAAGAAGAACGCGCCGGCCATCCCACGTTCAGCGACGGACAGGTCCAACAGCCTTGCAGACCCCAACATCTCGAAGGACGCGATCAGCGTTGTCGTTAGCCCTCTCCTGGGCACTCAGATGGGATCGTTAGGGTTGGCCAACCTCATGAACGCGGTGGGCGGTGTCGAAGACGCGCTCGCGACGGGCCCAACAGATCGCCACGACGGGTTTAGAGACCTTGAGGCATGGGTTGACGGGTCACTAGACATGTACAGGGTGCGTATCATGTTCCACTTCGCGCCGTTGCTCATCGCCACGCAGCCAGAATTCCGACCAATTCTGTTCCCTATATTCTGCCATTTCTATCTGGATCTCGTCGAGCAGGGATTAAAGGATGCGGGTATGTCTGGGACGTCCATTCCACTTCCATACAGCTGATGTGCGGGGCAACAGCTCTCGATTTCTTTCGCACTTTCTCGCCGTCGCTCGCAACGCACCACTTACCGACCTTACGCCACCTGCAGTCGCTGTCCATTCCATCGCACGTTGGACAAGACGAGCTTGCTCGGCGGTTCCGGAATGAGAAGTACCTCCTGCGCATGTCGCGGTCTGGCTTCCGACTCCTTGTTGGTTGGCTGACCGAAGGCACCGGAGGAGAAGCTGCCGGTGCTGGTGACGGTTTCACTGGCGAGTCGAGTCGCCGTGGTCGATCAGCGGTCATGCAGGTGGTTAACAATCACGTTACTGTAGAGGGTATGTCGTCTCCTACAGCTCACTGGAGCGACCATTGACCATTACCAGTCTTACCATCGACCGGCAGTACAGCCAACGCCGCGGTGAACTGGGAAGAAAATACTGGCTTGGTATCTGCCCTCATTCCGGACGGCTCTGGGAGAGAATCTGCGCCAGGCGTTTCTGCCCCGCAAGCGTTCAATTCGATCCGTAAAGACCTCCGATTGGGCTTGCCTGCAATGGAGGACAATCTGCGGGACGAGGTCGAGCGCACGCTACGAGAAGAGAGCATGCTGAACGGCGAGGCTGTCAACCCTGGAGGTCGCTATGACCCGAATTCTTTACCACGCCCGTTCGCACCACCGCCGAATGGCCATCCCGCACCCACATCGTCTGAACAGCTTCCCATGCCGCCTCAATTCAAGACGGTCGACGTGCGGAGAGAAGTAGAGAAAATTCGCGACGCACGAAAACGAATACGATTGGATCCCGCAGGGTACTCTGCGGAGGCGGACTTGAACGGTTTGGATCGCACTGGGATGGTGCGCGCGCGCGCGTTGCCTAGCATCTGCGCCTATACTTTCCACGACGCCAATGATGGGTAAGCACATATATCCGTTTCAATTCGCGTCGCTCACAGTGTGAAAGGATCGCATGTTCTACTTTCTCTCAGGACACCTCCATCTTGGCTGCTGGTTTCTCCGAGAGCTATATCCGTCTCTGGAACATCAAAGGCGAGAAGCTGAAGGGTATGAAGAACGAGTTTCAACTTTCGTCTATCAAAGACTGTGCGCCATTTACTCTCCACTGTATGCTGCTTCAAGCTTACACTTGATTTTTCAGCCAATTCCCTCAAGCGCGTACGAGAAAGGGGTGGCAACACTACGCGCAAACTTATTGGCCACAGCGGGCCCGTCTACTCGTTGTCCTTCGACCCCTTGACTGGGTCTGCCGCGCCGCCCAAACACCTATTGTCGGCATCCGCGGACGCGACTGTGCGGTTGTGGTCGCTGGACACGATGACCAACCTCGTCGCGTACCGCGGTCATCAGAATCCTGTCTGGGACGTGGAGTGGAGTCCCATGGGAATCTATTTTGCGACGGCAAGTCGTGATCGCACAGCCCGCCTGTGGTCAACAGATCGTTCGACCGCCTTGCGTATCTATGCCGGCCACCAAAGTGACGTTGACGTGAGTTCAAGCTCAATTTATGTCCAAGATCTCGCTCATCAGACTCGCGCGGCAGTGTGTACGATTTCACCCCAACGCTCTCTACCTCGCGACGGGATCCAGCGACAACACGTGTAGGTTATGGGACGTCCAGAAGGGCTCATGCGTGCGTGTCTTCCTTGGACACCAAGGCGCAATCACGTCCATGGCTATGACTGGAGATGGACGATACCTCGCCAGTGCGGGTACGTATATTCTCGTTCGGCCTTCCCATGTACTCACTCGCTTGCAGGAGAGGATCTCGCAATTAACCTTTGGGACCTGGGCTCCGGTCGCCGGGTCAAGAAGATGACAGGGCACACAGGTCTGATCCACTCGCTCGCGTTCAGCGCAGAGTCAACACTGCTTGTGAGCGGCAGTGCGGATTGGACAGTGCGATGCTGGGATGTTAAGGCGCCCGGCGGGTTGCCAACCAAGCGCGGTGCTCAAGACGACATAGCCATGGTCGATGGGTTTGGCCTGGCAAGTCGCCGCGTGCCCGCCACCGCTGATGCCGGCGCATTGCCCACCGGTGGCCTCAACGATGGGCCCGCCGAGCAGAACACGGAGACGTACGTCGACTTCATTCTCGAGCGTATATGGCCCTGATTAACCTTCTACAGAACCGACCTTCTCGCCACGTTCCCGACAAAACGAACGCCGATCATCAATGTCCAGTTCACGCCGCGCAACCTCTGCCTCGTTTCTGGCTCGGTCGCGTCTGGCACGGGCGACAACCGCTAACTTATTTTGAGTGTAGTCATAGTTTCAAGCTGTATCCTCCCCACGCTCTCATCCTGCTTTGAACTAGTGTTTTTGTCGCGTAGTGTGGTAATATGTCGCACGTTTGATTGAGTGTGGGTCCTGCCGGCACAGGTAGATTCACACGTCTTTGTCGTCGACGCACTGTTCGTGCATATTCCGTTCCCACTGAGACGACTCTTCCTGCGTTGCCGTCGCGTACTTGTAGCCACTCCGCGATGCGTCTGCCTCAGGTTTGCAGTGATCGGCGGGTTGTTGGAAGTGCCTTCTTCCCTGAAGTTACGGATCCGCGCACGGCAGTGTTGACCGGCCAGCCGCTTGTTGTGCAGCGCACCACAGCCATGAATCGGATGCGCCGTTCACCTCCTTCTCTCTTCCTCATATTACTGACTGAAGGTCGCTGGTCGACCCAGATTTCGCGAATTTCAAGCGATGGCCGCAGTGAGTCTGACCCCAGAGGCCAGACGCCTTGCTATCTCGACGTATAGCGGGGTTTACCTCACAGGATCTCATGTCTTGATACCTCTGTTGCTCGGGATTATGCTTTCGAAGCGGACGCTGCGTCATCCGCTCTTGGTCAACATGTACGTCTCCTCCTTGTCCCTGCCGCTATTCTAGCCTAATATCCCTACGTTGAACAGGTGTATCGCATCGATTCTCAACGGCATCGCAGCCTTGCTTATGTATGCCGGTATCTTATGATATGATGCATTGCGGGGACTCACGCACTATGCGATAGATTCTACGCCAACGGATACGACCATCCCTTCCCCCGCACGCTCTGCTTGCTTCAGGCAGCGCTGATGTGGTCGTCCGCGCCTATGTACGTGTTTCTGCTCCCGTCGCATGATCGACGTGCACCCTGACGCGGTTCCGGAAACTTGAAGGTTGGCAGCCACCGACCTGATGCTCGTGTGGCATGTGCGTCTCAGCGTTCTTCTCATCGCCGTTGTCATTCTGACTGCTACATCTGCAGACGTGGCTCACTGTGAGAGCGTCCATTGTCGAACAGGCGGAAGACAAGCCGAAACGCCTGAGGCTTGACCCGATGTATCTAACTACGGTGGGTTTATTCCCCTTCATTGCACCACCAGGAGCTGAGACTGCGGTTAAGATGATACTGTTTCCCTACATTCTTCTTGTGTTCTTTGCGATGGCGGCAGCAGCTGTGCGTTTCAATTATTCTCCCTGAGCTTCTCAGCCGCTCGCAATGTCACCCGCTGACGCTCCCCCTTGAGACACTCGGGGCGCATCATGAAGAAGTGACGCTGGAGAGAAGAGTTCTGTATTGCGCAGTAGCCCACGGTGCATTGTATGTATTCCCACACTATAGGCGTCATGGTCGCCGAATCGCAAGAGCGAGCGTTCTACTGATGGTGTCATGCAGCTCTGTTTTCGTCTCTGGAGTCAATGCGGCGATCCTCCTCCTCACGCTCTGTGTTGAAGGTCAGTGCACGTCTTCTTAATGCAATAGACGTTGCTAGATAACCGTCCGCGTACAGTATTACTTGGCCGCGCGCTGTGGCGAGCAATGGCACGTCACCAGTGGTGTCTCTGCGACACCGACCGCGACGAGCCGTTCGACGTTTGCTTCGCGCTGCGAGTATTCTGGAGCGGGATATATCTTTTGGTTTCCTGCGGGTGAGCACTGCTGGCCTCAGACCGGCGTACCGCAACGCTCATCGTACTCTGGCTTCGTTAATCGTGGCTTAGCTTCGCCATCTTCGCGGTTGTGAAGGCAAGCGTGATCCCAGACATATTCGAGGGAACAGGTGCGTAGAGGCTGAGGGCGGGCTCTTGCTGGGGGGGAGTGTGGAGCTGTGTTGACGAGCGATCCC